CTGTCCAGGGATTGAACTCATGCCACAATGGCTGGCTTGAGAGCATTGAGACTTTAACCCCCGCACCATTAAGGAGGCCCATGTACCACATATTTATCCAGTCCTCTTGTCACTGGGTGAAGATGTTATGAGCTTCCCCCATTAGTATCATCAATACCTTAACCACCTCCAGAGAGCAGGATATACTCAGTACTTGCTAACCCAGCACTTGCTTAGTGAGCAAAGGAAGAAGCAAAAGAAACTAAAATGTAAAAGCTAGATCCCAGCTCCTGTCATTTTGCAGACAGCCTTTCCTCCCATGGAAAGTACTTTGAAAAAACTTTGCTTCTAACCTCTCAGTCTCTATGGATCTTCCACAACCTGGCCCCCCTCCTGTCCCCTGCAAGCTAGTCTGCACCCCCACACCGACACTGCATCTGTGAGCACTTAGACTGCTACCATATCCTAGCTGTTTAAAATAATCCCACACCCTGCCCTCTTTTTACCCCTCCCATGGAACCCCCTACACAGTACTGAGGGGGTATGTCTGTCTGCCAGGAGGAAAGCCTTATGGAGCTGCATGCAGAGAAGAACTTTGGGAGCAGGACTGCAAAGGCAGGAACTGGATGTAAGGAGAAGGGAAGAAGAGGCCATGAAGAAAACGAGATCTTTGAACTACCTGGTAAAGGGAAACTGCCACTGACCTCGTGATTTAACCATACCCATTGCTGTTACACAGGAAGGAGTTGAAAGAATGGGCAAATGAAGCAGCTGTTCAAAAACAGCATGTCCCTGGAGAGGAAGGAGATCAGTGAATCCAATAAACACTTGCAGGCAAGCTTAAAGTAACTCATATAAAGGCTGAAACAAACTCTAAAACCACTACCACCATCAGTTTCCCCACCTCTCCAGCAATCCCCCCACTCTTGAAAGCGCTAAGGATGAGTAATTTCCCCAACACATTATGCCTTTCAACCAAATTGAATAATCAATTTTCTGTTTCTTTGACTCTATTGCATTTTGTCCACCACCCTTAAGAATGCATATGGTAATACATTTTTAAAAAATTGTGTAGAATTAAGGATTAGGCTAGGGGTGGTGGGGTGAGGGTGTGTGTGTGTGTAAGAGGATTCACCAGAGACAGAGTTGGAGCAGAACAGGCTGATATACTAAGATACACTGCTAAGGGGAGCAGTGGGCAAGACAAGAAAGGTCTGTTGCATTATCATATGTGGGTCAGCTCCCTGGTGGGGGATTGATCTCAGGCCATAGTGGTGATAGTGCTCAGCCTGAACCCTTACGTCTCTAGGGAGGCTTTGATAATGATTTCTGTCATGGGCTAACATCTTTGGTCTGTGGTCTGCATATGCAATAGGTACCTCAAACTAATATGGCCCCAGTTCCCTTCCCTTCCCCTAGTTGCCTACTCCAGGCACCTGAATTCAAACCAGAAACCATGGTTTTCCCTTTTCCCTTTTGTCTTATTTCTAATGGCAATAATTGAAGCGCTACCACAAGAACATAAATACATTCACTTCATTTCCACTATCTCCATTCTAAGTACCCACTGTAAGCCACCATCTCCTACCTGGGCAACTCATCAGTGATATCCCAACTTTTACCCATGTCCTCACCCCAAACATAACTTTTTCCACTGGCAACCAGCAAATCAGGTAATTGCCATTTTTAAGTGTAATTTATTACTCCGTCCTGTACTTTCTCAAGGCATTTAGAAAAGCCACACGTCTGGCCTCATCCCCACTATACCCTCTCCCGTCCCCCCATCCCAGTAAGCACTTGGGGTAATTATTCTTTTATGACCTGACCTTCCAAGATTAACAGATACTTCCCTTTCCTTTTGTTGATGCCACTAACTGAAGCACTCTTTTCCCCCAAGATTCTCTCAGGCCTGGCTTGTAGACCTCTGGATCATCACAGCAGAGGAAGGGCTTCTAGAATGGTCCTCTCAACACAGTATCCTATTTTCTTCATAGCACGTGAATCCCTGACATTTTCTCTAGTTGCTTCTTTGCTGCCAACAAAATATAAACAGAGTAAGAGTCAACTGCTTATTCCTTTTTACCTCCAACATCCGGAACTGTGCTTAGCAGGTAGAAAGTTTGGCACTCATTTGAAATAATAAACCTAAGTTAGTCCCTTTTTTTCCATTTGAAGATGTCTACACTACACATTTTTTATCTGGAGGGAGTGGAAGACAGCAGGAAGAGTTAAGATTTGGGAATCCAGGCCTGGATTACTGTTCATCTGTGTGTGATTTAGATGAGGTCAGTTATTCAGTTATACATGAGATTCTAAACTCTAAGGTATGCTGGAATGTTCAGCTCCCTGACTTACTTCTTGTAGTGGAATGACTGAAGGATGTCTGTGATAATAGCCATTACCAGCACTGGATTGTTTAATCTGGTTTAAAACGCTCAATTCTTGGTCCTCCCTGGTGGCCTAGGGGTTGAGTCTGAGCACAATACCACTGCAGCCTGAGTTTGATCTTTGGTTAGGGAACTGATCCACAGAGAGTGTAGGAGACCTCTCCTTTCTTACATATTTGTTCCCCTTAGCAGCGTTTTGGTAAATCCACCTGTTATGCTTCCCACTTCTCTGATTAATCCTCTAACCACCCATACTTCTGGCCTACACCCCAGTTCTTGTTTGCAAAAAATATAAAAATCAGTCAATTGTTAAACAGATCGTACAATTTTCCCCATGAAGCAATTACTTCCCCCACAAGTAACTGCTTTTAAGAATCACTCTTTAATCTCTCTTTCCCTTGGAGCCTCTTAGAAATCAGTAATTTTTCATCTCCATGGATTTACATAGACACTTCATATAAAAGGAATCAAATGTGATCATTGTTTGTTTTCCTCTTCATTAGCATGTTTTCAAGGCTCATCCATGTTGTGGTCAGTATCCATGCTTCCACTCATTGTATGTTTCTTTCGCATTGTATTTTTCATCAGCTAACAGATTTTTGCAGTTTCTACTTCTTGGCCACTAGGAACATTCATATATAAGTATTTGAATACCAATTTTCAGTTATCTTGAAGAATATCTATCTGTGTCAGTCATCTACCTACCTATCTCGTTGGGTCATAGGGTAACTATGTTTAACTTTGTGAGAACTGACAAGCTATTTTCCACAGCCTCTAAATCATTTTACATCCCTTCCAGCAATATATGAAGATGCTATTTTTCTCCATATCTTCACTAACATGTTAGTTTTAAATTTTAGCCGTCCTGGTGGGCATTGCAGCTTTCCTCATTATTTTGACATGTATTTCCCTAATGACTAATGAAGTTCAGCACCTTTACATTGATTGTTGGCCAGTCTGGAGAATATCTATTCAAAGACCCTGGCCCATTTTTAACTGGTTTGACTTTCTGTTGTTGAGTTTTAAGGATTCTTTAATGATTTGCATGATCCTCTTCTATTCCTTGTCTTTTCACTGTGTTGTCCGCTGCACAAAAAAATTTTAAACCCAACTCCAGTGCTTTATAATTTTAGTTCTTATATGTAGGTCTTTGACCCATTTTGTATTTTTATTATGTTGTAAGAGCCCCACACTTTATTCTCTTGTATATGGTTATCTGTCTCAGCACCATTTGTTTAAAAGAAACTATCTTTCCCCGCTGATCTTAGTGACCTTGTATCTTCCCAAATCATGATTCAACAAATAAAATCATAACCAAGTAGCTGTTCTGGAAATGGGAAATACAACAGTTGAGGAAAGAATTGAAAGAGAAGTCATATTTAGCACTGAAGTTACTGATCCATGGATCTAAGAATTCTAAATAAAATAAAAAGTTATCTATATCTAGACACATCTTAGCACAGATCAGCAAGATTAACCCTAAGGTAATTGTTAACAGAATGTAGATTGTGATGGATTCATTTGTGGTTGTTAATTATGTTACTGTGTATATGTCTACAATCTGCATTAGGGTGTTTAAAGAATATGGGTGAAGTAAAGTAATTATTTTCTAGTAGAAACTTAAGTTTACCACCTAAGAAACAGGTTATGTTTAAGCAATTCTCTTCCATGGTCTCTGGACCTGGTTGTGTTACCTTTAGTGTCAGAGAACACAGCCTGGTATCATTCCAGGTTGGCGGTATGGTATTAAAAGAATTTACCCTGGTGGTGCAGGGTTTCTAAAGTCTCTGTTATCAAGCTATAGGCACCCACTATGCGGGAGTTTGACTACATGGCACAGCGGACCTCTCCATATCTCTCCTGCTGCTCCTTTCAACAGTGTATCTCACTAGATTTGCCTGTTTTGCTCCCACTGTCTCTAGTGAATCCTCTTGCCCACACCCCACCCCACCTCTGGCCTACACCCCGCTTTTCTATGCATAAATTTTTTTTAAAAAAGAACCTGCATCTCTGATCTGTACATGGTTATAATACAGCTATTACTACTATACTACTTTAAATTTAAATAAACTACCAAAGATCAGGGAGAATAATCACAGAAGCATTTCACTTCTATGAAGTGGCTAGGCTTTAGTAAAGTGGGAAGCTAGACTTCAGAGGTTTGGCTAAACTATAGGTCAGACACTATTAGGACATTTAAATTTTTTTTCTTTAAAAGATTTATTTATTCATAAGAACTGGGGTACAGGCCAGAGGTATGGGGGTTCAACAGAGACAGAACAGTAGGAAGCAGAACAGGCAGATCGACTGAAATTCACTGCTTGGGGGAGCAGTGGGAGAGACAGGTGAGGTCTGTTGCACCACATGGGTCACCTCCCTGGCTGCGGGTTGAACTGTGGTGCAGTGGCTGTGGATAGCTTCACAGTACTTTGCTTTAGCCCCTTGTGCTACCAAGAGGGCCCTCCTATATTAGGTCATTTTTAGGGACAACTGACCTAGTTCTAAAAATTCAGGATTACTTGAATCTAATAAACTTTTGGGAGGTTTGCAAAGTATGACAACAGTGAACTCATTATCATTTGGAACCAAAAAGGTAATACATCAATGAAGCAATAAATGATAGCAGAGTTCCTTTATTCCAAAAGTATTTTAATACAATTATAGTACAGTTATGAAGTCACCTTCAATTCACTGAATATATTCAAGTTATTAATAAAAATATTATACATCTTTTCTCACTACTTTAATATAATTAAAGTATTTGGTTCTTATAGATGAAACTAATTGCCATATTCATTTTCATACTTGCTAGTATGAAAGTAAACCTATGGATTATGGTAATAGGGCTTTAGATCCTTTTGAAGTCTAAATATCAAAATCATGTTTTTTAAATGCTGCAATTTAAATTCTAGAAAGAACAGTCAATTTAAGGCAAGATAAAACTTTTATACAACTTTAATTTGAAAATATAAAATATTTCATCAAAGATCATACATGCCTTAACATTTAGATACTCATAGATTCATATAAAGGCAGATAAAAACATCAGTGCAAGTTCTACACTGGGTTCCTCAGTAAAGAAAACAGGTTCTTGGAGTAAATCATTACTTTCAAATCCCAAAACACTGCAGGACTTACACACCATCATAATTATTATTTACTTGATAAAGGAAGGTATAAAAGCATTGTGACAATATATAAAAACTAGTGTCTTGGCCAGTTTCTTTTTTAAACTTTTGTTTCAGATTTATCTTAAAGTAAGCCTAAAAAAATGTTTTAAAAAAATCAAGTGATTTATAATCTATTGATAGCTGTAGTGCAAAGATGCTCCTTTGTCTCCCCTTTTCCCCATTTTTGATAAGGGCTGAAATTATCATTTCACAAATAGCATTATTAAAATATATGTAAAATGTGCACAAGTGTATTTTTAATGACCAAAGAAGGCACAAAATGAGTTAAATTAGGAGAAAACATTACCACTTCTTTTGAACTCTGGTTAACTGTACAGCATTAGTCATATATACTCTTAAATAGGAATCCAGATTTCTTATAATTGAAAATTGATATATTTTCTAGCTCTACTAATTGTGCTAAAAGACACTGCTGTAACAGACTGCATGTAGGCTATATACACTGAATCCAATTAACAATGACCTTTCCCCAAGATAGTACTTTTTAAAAATTCTTATATTTTTAAAAATGGTAACTAAGTGATAACTCATGGAATGGAATTAGGTAACAAAATCTTTAGTGAAAATATCTAGTACTTCTTTACACTTGCAATTATACTTACATACTTTAAGGAAAATGTTAACTATAGGTGGACAAAGCAAACAGTGGTGCTTTGATCTGCATTTTAATTAACTTATTAAATAAACAACACATTTTAACAACAACAAAAAAGACATTCACATATCATACTCAAGGGGTTTCCTACAAATGGACCATTAGTGTTAGGCACCAAAAATTTCAAGTTTTTTTTTTAACCTTACATACATTTTTTTTATCCCATAGATACCCATACCTTATCAACTCTTCTATTTCTTCTCTGCAGGTATCACCATTTACATGAAACATTTGCACAGTTCATAAAACTTTTATTCTGGGCAATTTAATTGGAGATTGTCTTTTCTTTCTTGGTACTCTTCATTGCATGTTTTGTCAGTTATCTCACAGCAACTAATAGCTACTATCTCTGTTTCCATTTAAAAAGTGTCTTTCTACTTTAACCATGAGAATTATTTATATATACATATTTATCCAAACTAAACACTAAATTCTGTGTAAAGTTGAATAACTAATAAAAAATGAACCTTATTCCTAATGATTACTGTAGAATAACTTTAATCATGTCCCTTATGATTCTGAATCACATTATATTAAGGAAAGTAGTTCATATAAATATACAATGTTTACAAATGTAAGTAAAATGGATTATAACACAAACTTCACCATGAAAGTCTACATTAAAATTCAATCTGGACCCTAGAATTCTTGTCCTGTGCCTCCTCTGAAGATCTGCCCTGTTACACAAGGAGTTCTTTTCGCAAACAGGAATGAGCACATGGCTGAACACGTCACCTGTTTAATGAAGGAGTGGAATACAACACATGAAGGTGAAGTTACCAAACTTCAACTCACACTCACACTCCTGGGAATATAGGATTGTATTGGAATGACAGAATTTAGTGTACGGTTACATTGAAAAATCTCACTCACTGGGCAACAAAAAGATCAAGTGGCTGCCTTTTTAATTCATGTATCAGAAACATAGAAATGATCTTCCTGTGAGAAAAAAATTAGTAAGTGTACATAATTCTTGTCTTTAGTAAGTTGAAAGTGAGTGAAAACTATCTGCTAATTATTTTTAAACTCAGGGGAAGTGCCAGGAAGCATATGAAGTTAAGGCACCATTATTTACAACTTCAGTGGCTGGCACTTACTCTGACAAAGGCTTTAAAAATATGAATGGATGATACAAAACAATATTATTTTCCCCCTAATTCTATAAACTACTTAGTAGTTCTTAACGTAGCTACCTAATTTTTGTGCTTTGCTTTTCTGCCCTGTGAATAGCAGCTATATTCTGTTGTAACGTCTGTAGCCTTCCTTTCCTTTGGTGTTTGCAAACATAGTGGTGAGGACAATGAAGTGTGCACAACAGGAAAGCAAACGTGCTGTGTACATAACATGGTACCATCAGACCAAATAAAGCTGTAGTTCTGAATTATTCAAGATATGATTAAATCCTTCACCAACTCAATCTTTTTCAGGCCTTGTTATATATTACATTTAGGGTTTACAGCTTTGACTTTAAAACAACAATGGCTTTAGCAAATTCATAAAAGTTAGTTATGTGACTGTTGGTCCAACAGATATACTGAAAGGCAGCAAGTACACTTGATAATTTCTATCCAAGGATAAAAATACTATACAAAGTTCACGTGGGTAGATGTGTACACGCATTTATAATTATTCTTGATTCCAAAACTCAGAAATTTACCACTTACAAATAGGTTGCTGCAGCCAGCTGATACCATTTAACTGTCTCTTTGCTCAAGTTGAAATCTTTCAAAGGCAGGGTTATTCCACCTAAGAAAAAATTTTCCCGCAGAGATTCTGCACTGAGTACACTTAGTTGAAGTTCTCTTTTTCTTAGGGTTTCTTTGCTATATCCACTGTACACAAGCTACAGCAAAGGGAAAAAAAATAGTTACAGATTATTTTTTGGTTTCTTGGATTAAGTAAAAATGTGAGACTTCTTAGAGTGACTGATTATTGACACTGATTATGACACATCTGATGGAATTTGTCTCATATTTTAAAAGTACATTTTGTATTTCAGGAGTCCAAGGTTATTATTCCTCTAAACATCTGACATAAGAATGTACAAAGTAGACTGCTATTAGCTAGGCCAAAAAATATACTTTTTCTGAATGGAGATACAGGGGATATAAAGACAGCACTAATCAAAGCTATCACCAGCCACTGCAGCTCCAGTTTAATCTCAGGCCAGCCAGGGAGCTGACTTACATGGTGCTCTTCTGTCTTGCCTGTTGCTCCCTCAGCAGTGTATTTCAGTGCATCTGTCTGTTCTGCCCCCTACTCTCTGTCCCTGGTGAATCTCTCACCACTCCCTACCCCTGCCCGCACCTCTAGCCTACACTCCAGTTCTTGTATGCATAAATAAATCTTAAAAAAAAAAAAAAAAGATCTAATAGCTAAACAAAAGAGAAATGAAGGAAGAAAGCTAGAATAGCATAATTATGATTGTTTTACAAAAAAAAGAGATTAAAATTTTATGTATAATGAAATTCTGATTACCTACTTCAGTGCATACTCACCAGTTAGAAATGTAGTTTACAGCACTGAGAGTGTTAAAAAAAAAAAAGCTACTGTCTTTCAAACACATCACATGTGATGTTTAGCTTTCTTTTTTTCCCCAAGAAAAGATTACTCTTATTTCTGAGAAATATCTCCTTAAGCCAATCCTTTCACTCTGCCCATAAGAACTAAAAACAGTGACATTTTACTTTCATTAAAATACATTACTAGGGTCCTCCTTGGTGGTACAGTGGGTTAATGCACAGCACTCTCAAGCTAGCCACAGCCACTTTGCGAGTTTGATCCCCAGCCAGGGAGGTGACCCACATGGTGTGGCAGACCTCTCTCGACCAGCCCACTGCTCCCCTCAGCAGTGTAACTTCGTTGATATGCCTGTTCTGTTCCCTACTCTGTCTCTTGTGAATCCTCTCACCGCCCCTGCACCTCTGGCTTGTACCTTAGTTATGTCTGAATAAATAAATAAATCTTTAAAGAAGAAAAATACACTACTAGAAAGAAAGTAAATACTACTTTCTGGGCATAATGCCAAACATTATATGCTTACAAAGGTATGAAAGGATATTCTACAGCTTTAGTAAGTTTATAGCCTTAATGAAAATTCAAAATTTTTTGCTTCCAAATCTCAATCCAGGTATTTTTGTGTGGACACCATGTTAATGTAAGTAAATAATGTAATATTTATCCTAAAGAAGTAGCGGATTAAGGAATAGGTTGACCACTGGTGACACAAGCTATGCAACTTCTGTCGTCAGACATGGTACGGATGGAGGGGAAATGCTCTGAAAAATCAGATTTTCCACGCTAATTTATGTTATGACCTCCCTTTTTTGTATAATAGTAATATCAAAATATTCTGAGCAACTTTCAGCTTACAATTGGATTGCCTCAGCAGCAAAAGGTGCTGCCTGGCCCTGACAAGCAAGCACTGCACCAGGGTGAGAAATTCCTCTGAAGTCAAAAGTGACTTGACAACTGGCTGATCAATAAAAGCAAAAGGGCTGTTTCTGCAAAGTCTCTCTCACTGCTGGATGGAGGAAACCACAAATCTCATCACTCTACTATCTGACCTACCTTTCCATTCAGCTTCTAAAGAATTACTCAAACTTCCTACTGTCTGGCTTTTAGATGTGGAAATTCATCTAGGTTGCCTGTTTTAGAGCTGGTCAGGTTTCTACCTGCTACACTTCAAAGGAATTCACACAAGTCTTCTGGCTAGTCTTTCAGGATTCTACTGTCTAGTCTTTAGATAATTCACCTATGTCTCCTATTCAGAGCTAATTATGCTTTCTACTGTCTAGATCTCAAGGAAACTCACTTAAAACTTTTAACAAGTTTCTTCAAAGAACTTTTCTGTAATTTGATTTGCAAGAAATTTCCTCTTCCTGCCTCCCAGGATGTCTCAGGTAGAAAAAAAACCCATTAGGTAGTAGATAAGGTTTAAGGGACTTTATTTTAGTTAATCTTCACTATAGTAATATTAGTCTTAAACTTTGTGCATCTATGTACCTGTTTTTAACCTTGATTGATTTTAGAATGTTATGATCTCAAGTAAAGGTCAAAATGACCCCAGACTATTCTTAGAAAAAAGGTGATAGTGATCTCAGCCCCTTTCATATGCTAATGTCATCCCTCTGCCTGCTTGAAATATATAAAATAAACCTCTGCTGAAGTCAAAGCAGGAAGATTTGCACCCAACTCTGACTCCTGTGTCTTCCTCACTCCCACTTCCCTTTACTCCCCTATTTTTAGAATATCGCCTCACTGACATTGTTCCCACCTTAAGACCCTGCCTGTTCTGCCCCCCAATAATCCGTGATCAGGGACAAAGTCTCCGACACACTGGTTATAAGTTTGTAAGTTCCACAATGTTGAGCTGATGTTTGCTGTTCTACCTTCCTTCCTTCAATTCTCTTTTGTCCAACTATTAGATCATTTTTTTTAAAAGATTCATTTATTTATGCATACAAGAAGTATGACTTTGAAACTACAGCCAGTTAAGCAAACAAACTCTTTGAAAGATTCATAAAAAAAAATAGGTCGGTCGATATCTACAGGGCTGCCACCACAGGAGAAAATAGCAGTTCTGTATGACCTATAGGTACAAGCTATAGGGAGTAGAAATTTCAGCTCAGAATAAAAAATTATCTAAAAATTGGAGCTGCCAAAGAAAACTGGACTGTCTGAAGTGTTTCAACATAGACAGCTGACATCCACCATTTTGAAAATGTAGCAGGAGTTCAAGCACTGAATGAGAAACTAAAATCGAAGTGTCTTATGGTTAAGGGTTCAATTCTGCATTGGATTGAGATTTGCTTTATTAGCATACTAGATAGTTTGGCAACCAATAACTAAAAATTTTAAATTCTGTGATTAATATTTAAAATCTCAAAACAAATCAGAAAATTGTTAGAAATTATTTTAACGTACCATTTCATTGAATGTTGGATTCCTAGTTTTTCGTGTAATTTTGGTTTTACGTTTGGATGTTTTGTGGGTATCTGGAAGTAGGTATGTTTTGACATATGGATTTGGGTCAGCCCCATCTTCAGTAACCTATAAAAAAAGCAGTCTCTTAATAGTAATGCTTCCTACAAGAAATAAGTTTCCTCCACAATCATGATTATTTGTAATCACTCACAAGATCTTTGATGTGCATCACCATGATGAAAAGAGTTCCATTTCGGTAAGAGACAGATAATTTCACTGCTCCTCCTATTTGGCCTGGAGTAGGACTGAGGAGACCTGTAGCTGAAAAATTCAAATATGTAGTCTTTATTTTATCTTGCAGTAGTATAACAAAATAATTCTGCTTTAATTCTAGGACCATGACAAGTGTGATGTGTGATGTGCCACGGGGTGCATCTTGGTAGGCCACTGATCCTGGTAGGCCACTGATATACACTTCTTTAGTAAGTACACTCTATTAAGAAAATTAAGTTTATCCAGAAATAGAATAGCTTAGAACACTATCTTCCTCTCATTCTCACCGAACTATAGCCAATAACCTATCAGTTTACCATAGCTATTGAGAAGTTGCAGACTTGCAGGTTATAGGAAGCCATGAATTATCAATAAAGAGAAAAAAATAATCTTACCTGCAGACCTAGCTATTCCTTCAGCTTTCTCATCACGAAGTAAAGGATGGAAAAAAGTACAAACAAGGTCGCACTGAGAAAAAACAAAAGATTCATTAATTTAAGTATTATGTAGCCCCAAAGATAGTATGCTATTATTTTTCAGTTATGACAGTCACCTCTGCTACGTCTGTTGAAGCACTCATCAAACTCTGTAGGTAACTGTTTAACTCAATTTTTCTTTTGGCTGCTACATCTTTTATGTTTGTTCTTCCTAGAACCATCCTATTAGGAAAGCTATGAAAGAAAAGTAAAACAACAAAAAAATGTGGAATTAAATTATTTCAGCAGGAAGACAAAACACAAATATATATTTATTTACTTATCATACAAAGTGCAGTCTTAATCCATTATAAGGGAAATTTTTATGATTTCCAAGTACTGGTTTGATAAAGTAGTTCAAGTATTATCATTAACCTTTGTACAAAAGGTACATGCATTTGGTAACAAGTTATATTTATTTCCTATCACATAGTTATTTTCTTTCAATACTAACCATTCACAAATTAATAGCTACAGATCTGTTCCCCCAAAGCAAAAGCTATTTTTCACACACGACCCAATTAGCAAAAGCTATTGTAGCCACCAGTAAAATTCACAAAAGGGGTATGTCAAAGTCTAAATAGGAAATTTTAACTCTGCCCATTTTGGTGGCAAAGGTAAAATGAGTTTGCACATGGAGAAAAACTGTGATAGTCACTTTATGGTCTCCTTACTTTTGAAAGCTAGTCTCAGAAGAATATGAACAACTTGACAAAATTTGCTGGTCATGAGTTATGTTAAAACTGAGGGTTTC